GGACAGATAGAGCTGGGTGTCATCTGCATAGCAGTGTAAATGTATGCTATGTCTTCTAATGATGCTGCCTAAGGGAAGCATGTATAATGTAAACAGAATTGGTCCTAGCACTGAACCCTGTGGAACTCCATAATTAACCTTGTGTGAAGTGTGTGAAGAAGACTCTCCATTTACATGCACAAATTGGAGTCTGTTAGATAGATATGATACAAACCACTGACAGACAGACAGTCAGAGAGACTGAAAGACAGACAGACAGCTACGTACGTTTGACCATCTTCACGGCCGCCTTTGTAGAATGAGAATTAATCAGACCAGAGATGGTTGCCTCAACAACACGTCCGAAAGCCCCTGAACCCAGCACCTGTCCTGAAGACAGAGAGGCAGATGGGGTTTCTGCGATGAAAGAATGACTTTCTCATCTTACTTCAAACTGCAACTTACTCCAAAGCTTAAAGGTCAGTAACATAGTCTTTAGATGTGAAACGATTCAGTCCAAATGTGAATTTCAGCTTTGATATAAAAGAATCTGATTAGGAATTCAGTTTTTATACACAGTTGTCCCATTTTTTCCCAGGCTCAGGTGTGATTGGACAGTATCGTGGTTGGTTGAGTTTCTTGATGACTTTCTTGATGAAATCAAAGTTTTGCAGTTTGTTCCAAGTGCTCATTGGAACATTGAATATATTCTGCAGCATGAGGAAGATCTGAAAAACATCTGAAACACAATCTCCCAGGGGAAATTTCTGTTTACAATCAGGAAACGCCTTCATGAATGGCCCAGAATCCTCAGCTGCACAATCATCAATCTTCACACCTAGTGGAGGTAGGATGAGGGTCACTGAGAGTCAAATTGCTGAGACAGAGCTCCATAGATAGCAGATCAATAATCACACTGAAAATTATGTGAAAACAATCCAGAAGTGTTTGAAGGCAAAAACAGGTTTATACCTGTTTGGAGCCAAAGACAAAACCCAGGACACAAAGACCCGTGCCGTGTAAGGCACAATGAGGGAGAGACATTGATGAATTAATCTCATTGTTACATAAAATATGGTTTTGCAGTCTTACCAAGAACTACATGGTCTCTGTCTATTTCCCAGGTTGGGCTGTAGGGCAGCTGGGCGGGGTCGAGGTAGGTGTACTGCTGTCCATCAGGACTCACAGACTCGATCACCTTCCAACGAACTTCATAATGAGGTTTCTACACACAGAAATAAAACGGAACCAAATACTTTGGTGGATTCATGAAGTTACATGAACATGCAGCAAATATTTGACGGTCCATGCAACAGTAATGGAGCTAGTACTACTGTTCAGCTAGACGTTTATTTCATCTGAATACTAACTTTCCTCCATAAGATGATGAGGATGATGAGGAAGATGACAGCAATGATGACCAACACCAGGACTACTGCTAAGACCACCACCTGAGACAGGAGAGCTGAACACAGATAACATAAGAAATCTTAGAAATAAACACAATAATTTACCCTAAACAACAAAAAAACAAACAAAACCTGCCAAAAACTGTAGGATTAATTATTATTTTGTTTTAATATTAACTTTTTTTAGCAGAAGGCTTGACTTTATCCCTCTCACCCAGTACTGATCATCTTTTCTTGTGGGTTTATCCTAAATAGAGCTTCTCTTATTGAAAGCAATTTTATTTATATAGCGCCAAATCACCACAACTGCCTCAAGGCGTTTTATATTGTAAGGTAAAGAAGCTAAAGAAGAGACAGAAACCTCCAGCAGAACAAGGCTCAAGGACCGGTGGGGGTGAGGGGAGGGTGCCAGTTCTGTCATGATGCGGAGTCTAGTGACTCCGTGTTTATGTTTGCGATTATTGATATTGTTTCTGGTTATTAATGATTTCTAGTGCTTAGATGTTCCTGTGCCTCACTTTTGTTCCCTCTTGTCATCCCTGTTTCTACTTTCGTGTGCCTCCTGTTTTACTTTGACAGTCTGTGTCGGGTGCCGGTTTCTGTTTTGCTTTCTCCATGTCTCATCTTCTTCGATTAGTTACAGCTGTGTTCCCTTCCTGTTCCCTGTTTCCTCATGTGTGTATTCTCCGTTGCTACCAGTCAGGTCGTCTGTTCATCGTCCCCTGTGTATCTCCACCTGCATTTCCAAGTTTCAGGCTTTTCTTTGTATTTGTCAGTTCCCTGTTTGCCTCTGGGTTTTTTTTTTGTTTTTTTTTCCCGCCAACAATTACAGCTTGCTTTTTGTTAAACATTCACCTCCACTCCATGTGTCTGCATTTGGGTCCACCCTCTAACCCCGCCACGGTCTGCCAGCTCAGACAGTGACAGGTTCTCCTGGCTCTTTAATATTTCAGGTTCCTCTTTTTAGCAGAAGATTTGGCTCTGTCACATCCAGCACTGATCATTGTCCTCTGAGGGTTTTCCTAACCAGAGCTGCTCTCTTTGTTGAGGCCTCAGTTCTTCTTCAGTAGATTTTCTTTAGAAATAAATTCTTCTTTGTCTCTCTGAGCTCCTCCTGAGATGTTTGAGTCTTTGTACCAAACTCAGTGAAACTTCAGCTTCTGATCATCTCCTCCATGTATCTGCAGCACCTTTATTCAAAGTACTGAACATCTGGCAGGAGATCCCGATGTTCACATGCTGACCAGATGAGTTATGGTGTGTTAGTCTAAGTCACAGCATGAGCTTGTCTCCACTTCTCTAGTCACATTTCACTTTTCAGCTCTTCCTTCATGCATTCAGCCACTCCTGTGACCTCTGTGATGGATAGGAGCTCTGAGGAGCTCTTTCTCCTCTGTCAGCAGCTGTTTGTGTGCTCAGGATGTGGACGATGTTTTAAAGCAGACATCTGAAGACAGTGTTTGAATGAACGTTCTGCCTCAGTTCCTCAGAGAACCCGCCTGAGCTCAAACGCCTGCAGCATGGATACGTACAGCTGGAGATGACTCGCAGGTCCTTCGCTTGTCTGCCCACCGAGTTTGTGGCTTCACAGCGAACGGCCGACAGAGAGCTGAGAGTCTGGAGGGTCAGCATGCTGTGTACCTGCACAGGTGGAACAAACACACACAGAGTCACCGGTCAACTTAATATGTTACTGTTTCCCCTCCCTTCTGATGACATCACTCTCTTGATGTCAGTGGTTACCTGGGTGACACCTCTCTCTGCCACCATAGTAATGTTCTCCTGTAGCGTCATGCCCTCTGAGTCTTTTGATTGGCTCCTCCACTCGCCATTCAAATGATTGCATCTGCAGTAGGTTAAAGGACAGGATCACCATGGTAACACCAATACTGTTACACTATGTGTGTGTGTGTGTGTGTGTGTGTGTGTGTGTGTGTGTGTGTGTGTGTGTGTGTG